ACTCCAGTCTGGGCAACCGAGTGAGACTCCAACTCAAAAAAAAAAAAAAGAAAAAGAAAACAGAGTAAGACCTAAGGCCCCTCAAATCACTCCATGCTTCTTCCCAGGCCAGTCCCACCCCATCCCCAGGCACCACGGGTGAGGATGTGACCCAGGCCAAACCAGCAAAGAGCTCCCTGTCCCAGCAACACTGGCCATGTGACCCCAGCTGGGCCAGTGAGAGTCCACAAGGATTCTTGCTGGATAATTAAAAAGAGAAACTCTGAACTGCTGCTGAAACTCTGCCACCACGTGAGGCGCACACCCCATACATGCCTCCCATCCTCCAAGAATGAAACCAACAGAGCCCAGGGACAGAGAAAGATCAAGTCCTGAAAACATCATGCGGGGTCCTGGATCCAGCTATGCCTGAAGCCAGTATAAGCACCTGACCATTTCATTTATATATGCCAATCAAGTTTTTTTGTTGTTGTTGTTGAAGACTGTGTTGGTGTTTTTGTCACTTGCAGTGAAGACAGTCTTGACACACACTTTCTGGGAAGGAAACAAGAAACACCAACCCAAGCTTAGTGAGGTGACAGGTCTCCCCGTCCATCTCCATCTGTACTAGGAAAGGACTGGGCCAGGAAGCAGGGGCAAATCTGTGTCTTCTCACATGCCACACTTAAGCAATGGGTAGTGCCACTGGCACACTGAGGAAGAAGGACACTGGAACTCCAAGGGGACAGAATGCTGTGATTGATTGGTGATATCTGCCACAGACACAGAAGAGGTGAGGACATAGTAAGCTCACCACAAGTCTGCCATTCCTCATCCCCTGAGCCCCTTTTCCAACACAGTCCGTAATGTCATCTTCTCCTTCAACCTGCGGAAAGGGCAGGGGCCCTGGGCTTGAGACTTGGAGAAGTTAAATTTAGCAAATGACAACACCCCTCTTCAGAACCACGTCCAGTTCAATCCCCTCCACGTCCTCTCACTGAGCCTGATCCAGTCGTGGTTGAGAACCTGCAAATATGGAAACATTACTTTTGACAGCTCAGAGTCCACGTGTCCCATTTCCTCCTGGGGTTCCCATGTGGGGCTTTGATGGCCAGAAAGAAACAGACACGCAGTTGTGCATACACAGATGTGCTGGGTGGGAACCGTGTGGCTGTGGGTTCGGGGTGTGAGAGCAGAGAAGGGGACAGCTGCCAACTGGGGACAGCAGGGGAAGGGATCTAGCCCCAGGGAGGGCTCGAGGATCATCAGAGGTGGCAGCTGCTGCCCAGATTGGTCAGGAGGTGACACGGGCACCGCAGGGACCACCTACTCCAACTACCCAGTTCACAGCCAGAAAGACTGACACCCAGAGAAGGAAAGATGCTGGCCATGTAGACATCTCCTGCAGTAGGGAGGGGAATGGAAGAATTGGCTATCAATTTTTCCAGGATCTCCCCAGACTGTAATTTACCAGTCCACAAAGTTGCAGGGAGAAGGAGTTAAACACCAATTGGACCACACTGTTCCAGTGCTGAAGACCTTGGTGGCTTCCTAGGACTTCAGAATAAAACCTGCAGTTCAGGCCTTGGCCCACCAAGCCCAACAGGATCCGCCCCCATGACACACCCCCAACTCCCCCACTCCCCCCATCATTCACTCTGCTCCAGCCACACTCACCCCTTCCTCCCCCAAATATGCCAAGCATGCTCCCAGCTCAGGACTTCACAGGATGCACCCACAGCCCAGAGCTCCCTCCCCCAGGATCACCCCAATCTACCCCTCAAGAGGCCGCCTCTACCTTGGGTTGTCAGATAAAGCCCAGGATGCCCAGGCGAGGTCTCATTTCAAATACACAGCAACTTATTTTTCAATAGGTCTCAAATATTGCATGAGACAGACTTGCACTAAAAAA